GCGCTATTGACGCGAAAATCGTGCGCAGTACGTAGGGATGCGTAATGCAATACTGAGGAATCACTTTAAGGGTTTGAATTAAAAGCAAGTTTGAACTGAAACATGTTTGGTCCATTCTGCTATGAACAAAAAAGACATTTCATTGAACGTCTAACCTGAGACGAAAGCAACCACAGATCTTTTAGAAAACTAGAGCCAGATTTTATGATTTCGATTCTAATGCATTGTCGGTAACCCCCTCTCGCCTTTTAATATCACATTAAAATGCCATCGTGGATATTTCGACATGCCGGCATACACTGGCCATGCCAGAGTATGCAACGTCCAATATCGAAATCAGACTTCTTCAGATTTTGTTTATACTACCCATACGTGATATTATACCCAAGAAACTAGATATCTCCCTTACATATTCTGGAACTTGTACATTGAATGTTCTTGTCAATGGACAGATAAAAATTGGGATTTAGTTTTCACTACAATGGAGGTTATACTAAATGCCACAAAAAGCCAAGAAATGCGAAAGTGATTTCTGAAACGTATTAATAATTCATTAAGTTTAAACGAAGGAAATCATGACCGTGACGGTGTTTGCATATCTGATCTTAATTAGCATAGATTTTAACGATTTTATTTCTCCGGTGTTTGACCACATTTCCAAACAACTCAAAGTTCTTCAAAAATACTCCGCTGCACGTCGTATTTTCAACTCTCTCCTCGGTGTTTGGAAATGTGAACAAACACGGTTTTTCGTTTTTGATATATTACGTGAAACCAACCATCGTGATGCCAACAACAAACAAGGCAATATTTCATAGAGACAAGCAACTCATGCGTGGTTTTCGTTACGCGGCAAGATCGCGATACCCAGGACAACGTGTCGATTAAAAATCTAGCTTATTTATATTCTACTTAAAAAATATTGCGTTTCTCTAGACCTTGAGTGTTTATCGGTCAAAACTATTCTTATATCGCGATACGTAACGAGAAAAATTAACTCCAACAACAGCATTATTGAGAATTTTCTTACGAGCTTGCGAGTGTTGCACTAAAATGGAACTGTTAGTTCAAATAACTCAAATACAAAAGTTGTTTAAATTTCTGGTAAAGTTGTTGTTGGAAAATGTAAATTGCAGCTTGTTTCAGTTGTGCCTTAAGATTTGCGGTTCATTTGTTGGTCAGGGAAAGTGTTCATCTCAATCCTTCCGGCGTACGTCACGCAACGGAGACGTAGATGCTGCGAAGGAGACTCAGGGAAAGAGCCACGGAAAGGTTGGCTTATATCGTTCTGACGGGGCTGTCTTACAGCGCTGATAAACAGCTATTAAACAACCTTTCTGCTATGGGTATCAAGTTCGAAGGAAAGATCTTTCTGAAAAAAATCATTATTTTGAGTTAAAGAAGCCTCTTCGAAATATCAGTTGGCTTGCTCTTTGATCATGCATGTAAGTGAATTTCTACTTCAAGAGCAGTTGCAAAGAATAGTTTACATCAAGTATCTCCAATATCTCCAATATCTTCACGAGGCTAGGGGTGAGGTGCGTGTTTAGTTAAAATGGTGTAAACTTGTACAATTCCAAAACAGCTTGTCGCCTTTTATTGAAAAAAAAGGAATCTCTGCTGCAATGGTTGAATTTAAAATTGTTTAGAATAATAGGAATGTTGAATTTAAATGCCACACGGTTTTTATTTCTTCTATGAATGTGAGGAATTGCCCGTTTGCACTGAAACCTTTTTTTCGTATTATTCATTTGGTATGAAATTATATGATACTATTTTGGTCATTTCTCTGAAAATTTTAATTCACGATGTTTATCGTCTAAAGAGGGTAACACCTTCTTTGCTTTCTTCTATTGAACAGATCTGCGACAAGATTCGAAAGGGAAAACAAACAGCTAGCAATTTGCGGTTTACAAGAGTGATCCGATTGTAGTTAATCTATTAAAAAAAGAACTTCCATCTTACATGCTACCGTAAATTATTGCCATTCACACGAACTAAATCGTAGAAATTAGAGCAGTTTAACTTTCTGACAGAATATATCTGAAATTATTTTTTTTTCGGAGCATTTACCAGTAATGCTTATGTATTGGCTTCTATCTTAATTTTAATATATTCACATACGACTCACATCCAAATGGTTAGTAAATCACCGACATCTAAGCGAAATCCATATAATGTGGTGCTGTAACCTACCGTACAGTATACGAGATCAATGAAATAAATATTTCATTCTTGAGCAATCGACGATACTGTCTTTCAGCACTTTCTTCCTGCCCTAATACTGAGAGGTACTTCATATTCTTCCACTTAAACAATCGCATAACAATCTAAAAGCATCTTTATTAATATAAAACGCGAGATATCGGGCTGCGAGTTGACGTATTATTATTCCAGTTAATAAATGTTTTTTTTTTGTCCTTAACTTTCTCGTATATCGATGCAGCTAAGTGAATAACAAAATACAGAGTGATCTATTTGGGCGGGGATGGCTATGTTATTTTCAATTTTTTGTTTTAGTTCAGTGTCAATTTCACGGAAAATGAAGATCAAAAACTACACGGTCAGATATTACAGTTTAAGAAAGTCTCTTCCACCATCCCTCCCGTCCGGTGATGGAAATATGTTTATTACGTAATTGTTCTACTCTTACCGCAACATATGAAAGCAGTCTCTCGAAACCGAAGAAACTTCTGGTGAAGATGCATCATCAAGATATTGCCAAGGTCAGCTTTCATCATGTACAATTAATATTTAACTCGTGTTCAATAGAAAATGATACTCATTAGCTGATAATGTCTGCTCAGGGCATAATACAAGATAGTCGATCATTGTCATTGTTAAGGTTCCTAAAAGCGTTGTACACGTCTGTCTTAACAATATTTTTTTTTTCCTATGAAAAAGAAAAACAAGCGAGAAAACACAACATTTACGTGAAATATTTACACTCAAGGCAAGCTATTTTAATCTCGATTTTGTAAACAACTATTAAAAGTTTAGAGGTAATGTCAGAAATACCTGTCGATATTGTCTCCTAGAGGAAGCTGCAATAGGCCTCGTTCTATACATCAATATTCTAGGCTTTCAGGACAAAGTTTTATATTTGGTGTGACAAAAGAGAAACTTAAAAAAAAAATTACAATTTTGACCCGAAAGCCTCGGAGCCATGTTAGAATATTGATATATTGAACGTGGCGTATTGGTGGCTTACATTAAATGGTTCTAAAATTAGCAGCGCTGAGAACCTACTTTAAAAGCCTGATTACCAACTTAATTGGGTACACTGTGTCTACTAAGATAATACTATTGATTGAAGCTTCGAATTCCTGCATTGGTTCCTAGATATTTGAAGTTTGATTCACGTGAAAAATTCCTTAAAAAGAGGAATTCTACCGGGCATCTTTCAGACCTCGAGCCCTCCCATCTCCCTGAGCAATGGCTTCAAAGATTTGGTTCATTGCAGTTCTATTGCTAGCGGTTAGCGTCGGCTTTGAAGGTAGGACATTTCTTGAGTACTCGAGTTGTGAAGTCTTAATGCTCCTATCAGATATTTAACTAATCATTTTGCTTTCACTGACCTTTTTGTAGCCTTCACAATTCCACTAGAAGGTAAGCAAATGCAATATGAAGTTTGTTCTCCATCAGTGTAATAAAAGTCTGTTAAAAGTGTTTGATAAAGTAAAGCAGCACCCACCATCACTGGTAAATGCAGTTTACCCGCTAGTCAACAAACGAAAAAGAGGATTTACCTTCAACTTATAGATCACTTTTTCTGGACCATAAGATTATTTTAGAAAAATTTAATGTATACTTCTGGGTTCGCTTTCCTCGGACGTTTGAAATTAAACTGAACTGAGCAACGTTTGAGAAGTATTTCGAAAAAGAGTGCAACGTAGCGGTGGATGCAGCCGGCGCTCGAATTGGAAGCTTTATTCCCAAGATAGGAAGCAGTATGAAACCTGAAAAGGGAATCCAGGGAAATCATTCAACATCTTTATTTGTTGTACTTTTTCTGACGATCCAGTCGTGTCTCACTCAAATGATTTGTCATATGAGTTAGTCGAAAGAAGTAACGTGGAAACAAAACGTCCAGTTTGCTAATCTATCAGAAACGATATAGCGCATGTTTTAAACCATGTAAAGAATTTAGCCTAAAAGCTAACCGGCGATTAGGCGTTCTCTGCCAGACAGTTAGTGCTTTGTAGATATACCCAGGCATTTATGCAATTTGCATGGCACACAAAAGTGATATATAGTACAATCTGATTAGTTGCCTGAAAAGTATTGTATTCAAAATGAGTGGCGATGCTACACAAGTGCCCTATAACCACATTTTTTGAATTTTTATTTTTATTTCTTATTTATCAGAGGATCTTAATGATGATAGCAATGAAATGGGTAAGATCAAAACGTTCAACTTTTTGGATTCTGTAATGTAAGAATATCCACAATCGTAGTCAATGGGTATAGAGTTCGAAAAATCAACAGCAATAAGGAGAAGATATGTACAGTGAATGTTTCGTCATATTGGAAGCACTCGCAAAAGTCTGGGAAAAATTAGCTCATCAATATCTCGCAGAGTTTACCGCTGGTCATTCCCAGTCCCGGACACCTTTTAAGTAAACTCGCTGGCCGGGGACTATTAAAGGTCTGCCGTGTATATATTTGTGTTTTGAACAATGCGAACGATCTCATTTCATTTATTTTTTTTTATTTACTGCTTATTCGTTTAGTGTTTTTGTCTTCCTTGGCGATGTTTAGGTTTACTGTATTCCAATTCTACTGTCCCCGTTCGATTGTAGAAAGGCTCCTTCATCGGTGGCGGCAAATTAAGGTTATCATTGTCCATCGAGAAGGCCATTTCTTCATTCTTCTTTATCTTTTCTGATCATCCAAGATTATCCTAAAGATTATAATGATGACGATGACGAAGATGATGACGATGATGATAATGTCCATGATGGAAACAATTTGGGTAAGAAAGACTTGTTTTGTTGAACACTTAGCTGTTCATTAAAACAATTTAGGGTTGATGATACCATAGCACGTTTGTGAACGTCACATCTCTTCACCAAAGCAAGAGCACGTGCGTTTACTATATGAATATACACACACAACACACAATCCCAGTGGTTACGAAGAGTTAACGTTAACGCCCGAACATCAGCTTCACAAACTCGCTACAACGGTTGATTTACCTTATCAACTCAACTTTACGTTTTACCCTTGGTTTGCTGGCACAGATTTAATCTAATCACCCGAATGACTTTAGAAAAATATGAGAGTTATCCAACAGTTATGGGCGTGTGAAGAAAGAAGGGGTGAGGGAAAGTGCCATCTAGGTATTGAGAGTATGTTTTGCAATTTAAAACGAGATTTCCTATATATTTACAACATTTTCCTACTTCCTGAGAAAGATGTAAAATGGAATATGGCGGACTTTGTGGCGTTACGTCATGAGCTTTCTTTTACGTTTGGAGGTAATAATAAAGACGTTAAGAAAAAAAACACTGAATGGAAAATTGCTCTGTGAATGTTTGCGTTTCTCCATGTAAAATATCAAATACGAAAGACCTTTTGACTAAAGTAAGTGTTGTTACCCATGCCTACAAATTAACCATGGTTGCTTCTTAAAATACCTCCATAAAGAAATATACCTGATTCATTATCTTCCTATAACATTTTTTTCACAGAGAATGGTTTGAAGGAAATGGATAAGATATGTTAAATTTTCATTTGTTAACCCATAAGCATACTAGTAACTTTTTTGAAAAGGGATTAACCCGGATTCACCACTTGATATTGGAACTGTCAGTAGCTGTTCATTCATCCCTCGCGAAAAGTTTGGTTGTTAACATTATCATAGCAAATGCATTTGCCTCGCAGGTCCTGAGCAAAATTGCTTAATTTTTTACCGGAAACATTTCCTTGATTTACTGGTTTTCTTGTAGAGAATTGTATTAATAGTTTTAGATTTATTTCCATCAAAAAATAATAACAAAAATAAAATAAAATAAAATAGAATAAAAATAAAGTGATTATTTCTGTGCTAGCATATTCAGTTTATAACCAGGAGCCATAATCGGGGACGGAGACCGTAGGTCTTGGGATCCGCGCGCACCTATGATATGGAACAATTTTTCTATTTTTAGAACAAATTGCGCCATCCCGACGTCATATATCCGCGCGGATCCACGCACATG